TGTCTCCCTGTCCCTGTTCCCAGGTGTCTCCCTGTCCCTGTTCCCAGATGTCTCACTGTGCCCTTTCCCAGGTGTCTCCCTGTCCCCATTCCTGGGTGTCTCCCTGTCCCCATTCCTGGGTGTCTCCCTGTCCCCATTCCCAGGGGTCTCACTGTCCCTGTCCCCGCAGGGCCCATCCCCTCTGGACTCCACGCGGAGCACGCGGCACCATGGGCTGGTGGAGCGGGTGCAGCGGGACCCCCGCCGGATGGTGTCCCCCCTGCGCCGCTACGTCCGCCAGATATCCTTCAGCGTGGGCATTCCCTGCTTCCGGGTATTCCCTGCTCCTGATCCTTCGACCTGGCCATTCTCTGCTCCTGATCGTTCAGCCTGGCCATTCCCTGCTCCTGGGCATTCCCTGCTCCTGATCCTTCAGCCTGGCCATTCCCTGCACATGCTCCTTCATCCTGGTCATTCCCTATTCCCACTCTTTCAGCCCGGGCATTCCTTGCTCCTGATCCTTCATCCCAGTCCCATTTCCTGCTCCTTTATCCTGGCCATTTGCTGCTCTTCATCCCAGTCCCATTCCCTGCTCCTGCTCCTTTATCCTGGTCCCCTTCCCTGTCCCGCGGGATTTGGGAGCCCCCCCTGCTCTCAGTGTGGCCCTTAACGAGCCCCCACATCGACAGCTCCCCCTACGGACCCACCTACTTGTCGCCTCCACCTGAGCCCAGCTGGAGGAGGTAATTCCTGCCATTCCCTGCAGCCTGGGGGCCCATCCCGAGGCTTTGGAAGCAGGAGAGGCCCCGGCATTCCCAGGAGGATCCGCAGGGCTGGGATGTGGGAAGGGGGCAGGGGGAAGTGCTGCAGTGCTGTGAGTGGGGTGAGGGCTCCTGCCTCTTGGATCCTGAGATTGTCCCACAAACTGGAGGGCTCGAGGAGGAGTTTCAGGTGGGAATAGGGATCCTGCCGAGAGGAAGCAGGTGGGGACAGGGATGGGGGACAAATACAAGCTCGAGACCTGTCCCTGGAGTCCCAGGAGTGGTGTGTCCTTGTCTCACCCAGAAGGGACACCATGGGGGACAGCCCAGTCCCATTCTATCTTCCCGCAACTCCCAGCCCTCACTGGGGCATTCCCAGGGCAGGGAATGGGGTCGCGGATCCCCAAGGGGTGTCCTGCCTCCTTGGCCCCCCTAATCCCTGTTTTTCCCTTCCAAAAAAAGGACCATGCCCTGGAGCAACTTCCCGATGGAAAAAGGACATTTATTCCGGCTGCCCTCAGCTCTCAACAGGTTTGATCCTGTTTTTTTCCTCTCCCTGTTTCCCAGCCAGGACCCCTGGGGTGGGCACAGGCTTGGGACCCCCGGGGGGGAAAAGGTGGCCCTGGGGACTCCCAGTTTCGGCCCCAGGACCCCTACAGGGCCCCCCACAGGGGGAGGGGTCCCTGTCCCATGGGCGTGGGGGGGTTGGGGAGGTTTCCTGTGCTGCAGCCGAACAATGTCCCCCTTGTCCCTTGTCACTGCAGCCTCTTCCCAGCCATTCCCTGCCCTTCCCTGCCTCGAGACAACTAATTGGGAACACAACGGATGCCCCCAGCCCCGGGGGGGGCACAGGGTGGTCCCAGGGAGGTCCCATTGTCCCCTGTGCCTGGGGGTGAGGGCTCTGGGAGGGAGATGGGGCTGGACTCCAGTGGGGAGGGGGGCACAGGGCTGGTGGGGGGGCTGTAAATAGGATGAGGTGCTGTAAATGGGGGGGGTGGGGCTGTAAATGAGGGATGTGTGTAAATGGGGGGGGTCCCGGATCCATGCCGTGATCCCCGTTTTTAGGACAAATTCCGACTCGGCCCTGCACACGAGCGTGATGAACCCCCCTCCCCAGGATTCCTACCTGGGCCCCTCCCAGGCTGCCCCCCCGCCTGGCCGGCGCACGGGTGAGACCCCCCTGCCCCCTCCAACCCCCTGGGGGTCTCGGGGGGGGGGGGTCACACAGCCTCCCCTCCTCCACCTCTCTGCCCCCCTGACCCACCCGCTCTCCCACAGGTTTCCTGGACGGGGACTCAGACAGCAAAGGTGAGCCCAGGTCACAGCTGTGTCCCCCCTGGGCTGGGGGGGCTGTGATGTCCCCCATCACCACCACTGACCCCCCTCCCCCTTCCCAGTGTTTCTTTTCCAAGTGCCTCCCATCGAAGAGAACTTTGATGACAACAAGCACTCGCTGAAGCCCTGGGACACCAAGAAGGTGGGGGGGGGGCCATGGGGATATCCCCCCCCGGGTGCCCCCCTGTGTCCCCAAGGCCCTGCCTGGGCTGATCACTGCGCTCTGATCCCGCAGCTCTCGTCCTCCTCGGCACGGCCCCGATCCTGCGAGGTCCCAGGCATCCAGTGAGTGCTGGGGACCTGGAATGGGCAGGGGGCACTGGGGAGAGGGGCTGGAGTGGGGAGGGGGGCACTGGGGAGGGGCTGGAACGGTGAGGGGGACACTGGAGGGGGGCTGGACTGGGGAGAGGGACGCTGTGGAGGGGGACCCTGGGGAGGAGGTGCCAGGGTGTCATCACTGTTCCCCCCCCCCTGTCTCTCTCCCCCCCCCACACCCCCCAGTGTGTTCCCGTCCCCGGACCAACCTGCCAATGTGCCCCTCATGCCCTCGGCCCTCAACACGGGGGGGTCCCTGCCCGACCTGACCACGCTGCACTTCCCGTCCCCCCTGCCCACCCCCCTGGACCCCGAGGAGGCCCCGTTCCCCCCCCTGAGTGGGGGCAGCAGCACCTCCAACCTGGCTACCACCATGACCCACCTGGGCATCAGCGGCACCGGCACGGGGGGGCTGGGCTACGACCCCCCAGGTGAGTGGGGGGGGCACAGAGGAGCTCAGAGACCCCCCAGGTGAGTGGGGGGGTACAGGGGGGGCTGGGCTATGACTCCCCAGGTGAGTGTGTCCATCGCTGTGTCCATCTCCATGGTTTTGGTGGCTCCATCCCCCTCCCTCCACCTGGGGAGCCCCCCCCAGGCCCTTCCCTCCCTCTGGGGAGCCCCTCAGGCCCCTCCCTGGGCACGGGGCCATGCTGGGGGGTAACGCGCTCTCTGTTTTTGTGCCCACAGGACTCCCCTCACCTCTGCAGAGCTCCCTGAGTAACCCGTCCCTGCAGTCCTCCCTGAGCAACCCCAACCTGCAGGCCTCCCTGCAGGCCTCCCTGCGCGGCCCCTCCCTCCAGGCCTCCCTCAGCAACCCCTCTCTCCAGTCCTCCCACAGCAGCTCCTCCATCCCCTCCTCGCTGTCCAACCAGTCCCTGCCCTCGTCCCTGTCCTCCTCGCTGTCCAACCCGTCCCTGCCCACATCCCCCCGGAGCCAGCCCCTCCAGTCCTCGCCCAGCAACCCCAGCCTGCCCTCGGGGCTGGGGGGCTCCTTCGGGACCACGTCTCCCCGGCGCCGGGTCCCGCTCAGCCCCCTGTCCCTGCCCGTGGCTGGTGACTCCAGACGGCAGCACCCCAAACAGTTCTCACCAACAATGTCACCCACATTGTCCTCCATCACCCAGGTATGCATGGCTCCATCGCCGCGCCTTCTCCT